AAAAGCTTTGTTTTTTAGGAATAAAGCCAAGTATAAAAGCTTAAATGAGTTGAAAAATAGTTTAAAAATGATATATTGGAGCTTCAAGAATAAGAATCATCAGCAGGTATTATTTCTGATCTAAAAATTGAACTGTTGAGATCCAAGGTTCGGGAATTGAATGCAACGCTTGGACGTTTATGTACATGGTGGAGGCAAAGATCCAAAACTCGTTGGCTCAAAGATAGAGATTTTAATTCAAATTTTTTTCATGTTTCTGCTACAGTGAGGAGAAATATTAATTGGATCAACCATATTAATAATGAAGCAGGTTTGTTGATTGAAAATCAGGAGGAAATTACATAAGTGTTTTTGAATTTCTTTAAAAAAAAATGGAGAAGTAGAATTTGCTCCTTGAATAATTGGCCTCTTTTTTCTAAAGCCATTGAAGCTGGTGATTCTACAATGCTTGATAAAGACTTTTCTAGAGAAGAATTGGAAGCTATTGTCAAAAAATTGGGTACGAATAAAGCCCCGGGAAGAGATGGAATTACTTATTCCTTTATCAAAGCTTATTGGCATACTATTCATAATGATATGTGGAATGCAATTAATCTGTTCTTCAAGACAGGTTTTATGTACTCGGATTGGAAAGATACTAATGTAATGCTCATTCCTAAGGTAAAACATCCGGTATTACCTTCTAATTTCATACCCATTAGTCTTTGTAATACAATCTACAAAATTGTGGCCAGCATGCTATTAAATAGAATGAGTAATCTTTTTCCAATGATTATTTCCGAAGTTCAATATGCTTTTGTTAAAGGGAGACTTATGTCGGATCAAATTCTTCTAGCTCAAGAACTATTTCATAAATTTAGATTTTCCAAATCTAAAAAGGGATTTATTTTTATTAAAGTTGATATGGAGCAAGCATATGATAGCATGAGTTGGCCTACTTTCAATCAAGTGCTTCATTGGTTTGGTTTTCCATCAAAATTTTCTTTGCTTATTATGGAATGTGTTATGAATCCAAAATTTTCCATTTTGATCAATGGAAAATATTCAAATTGGATTGAGTCTAAATGTGGATTTAGACAAGGATGTCCACTTTTTCCTTACCTATTTATCATGAGCTCCCAACTTTTATCTGAAGAATTCTCAAGGATAGGAGGTAATATATGGATGAGAATTTCTCCAAATGCTCCTTTGATCTCTCTCACCATATGTATGCAGATGATATAATCATCTTTTCAGAGGCCAAAAAGATGAGCTTGAAGACTATTTCTGTAATCTTGAAAAATTACTGCAAATGGACTGGGCAAGTGGTGAATTCAGGCAAGTCTTCTTTGTTCTTTAGCAAATCCATTTCTAGAAGTTCAATTAGAATTCTTTCTAAAATGATGAAATTTAAAGTTAAGAAAGAGTTACATTTTCTTGGTACAAAGATTGTATTAAGAAGATTAGTCAAATCAGACTTCAATTATTTAATTGAAAAAGCTGTGGCCAAAATTAATATGTGGGGAAACAAGTTCATTTCTCTAGCTGGAAAAATTGTGTTGTTGAATGCTTCTTTACTTTCCTTGCCAATTTTTATATCTACTCTATCTCTTCTTATTTTGAGTATTTTAAAAGAGATAGATAAGATGTGCAAAAAAATTTTATGGAATAAAAGAGATGGAAGTTTTGGTATTCATTTTGTAGCTTGGGATGTTATGTGCAAACCGAAATGCAAAGGAGGTAGAGGAGTGCAATCGATGCTAGATAGAATTGGACCTTTAAGAGCCAAATTGGCTCTCAATTTTATTTCCAATCCCTCATCCTTATTTAATAATATGCTAACTGCCAAAAATGGGAATGATCTATGGGAAGGTGGAAATAGATGCTATTTCTCTTCTACATGGAAAATTATTTTGAATGGAGCTAAATACTTATACCCTCTATTAAGATGGAAGATTTGTAATGGAGAAGATGTGAATACTACAAAGATGTTTGGATTATGGATAGATGCTTAAATAAGTGGCCTACTTTTACATCTATAATAGATCAACAGTGCTTTCATATTTCAACATTCATCAGAAATGGGGAATAGAATGTAGACTACTTAAAGAAATTTTTCGGCTTGCAGCTTGTCTCTTTAATCTGTCAAGTTCCCATCTTCTCAAATATAGATAGTGACTATTTGGAATTTATTTATAAATGCTCGGGTGAATCAGTTACTGCTTTAACTTATGAAAAAACAAGAGAACGGGACATGGATAGTTTAAACTGGGGTTGGACCAAAAATCTTAAACTAAGACCTCAAGTTGAACTATTTGTGTGGCGTCTTTGTATTAATGCTTTATCTTCTAAATGTTTTCTTCATCATAGAGTTATTATTGATGATAATGAATGTCCAAGACTCTGTAAAAGAATGGAAGACTCTGAACATATAGTTGTTAAATGTGGTATTATCAAAAATGTTTGTGATAAGCTGGAGAAATGAAATTTTCAGTTTCCTGCTTTTAATTCTTTGGAAGATTGCCTGAATGAGTTAATGAAGCTCTCGGTTCAGAATCCTATCATTGGAAATTTATATTGTTCGGTAATCTTTTTCTGTTGGAAAAGCATAAACAAATTAATTCATGGTGGCAATAAAGACAGCTGTTATTTCTTAGCAGCTAATGCATTAGAATATGCATTTGGTTCATTCCGTAACAATCCAGTTTGGGATAACTGGGAAGCTAATCAGCACTTTGTGCTGGGTTTGAAAGCTTGGCTTCCTCCACCTCCTGGTTGGATTAAATGCAATGTTGATGCTTCTTTATCCAGTAACAATTTAGCTAGAATAGGAGGTGTTTTCAGAGATGACAAAGGAAGATTTTATGGAGCATTTGGTTTCAGCATTAATCACTGGGATATTGCTCAAGCTGAAATACTTTTTATTCTTTCCTTAAGAAAGTATGTTCAAGACTGGATGCTTGATGCTAAAGGTTTTCTGATTGAAGGTGATAATCACAACGTTCTTCTTCTCTTTCAAAGAGCTTTTCATAATAATTCCATTTCAGAAGAATATCTAAATCCTAAGGATTTAGATTTTCTTAAATATTTTAAGCAAGTTATTTTTTCTTATGCTAGAAGAGATTGTAATAAGTTAGCTGATATGTGTGCAAACTATGCTCTTCGTTCAGATTTGTTTTGGAAAGATCTGAATGAGAATAGTATCCCTCCTTTTCTTCATTTGTTGAAGAAGGAATTTATTTGTAATTAGTTGCTTTAATTAAAATTTACTGCTCTTTGCATTTTCTCAAAAAAAAAAAAACTATTCCATTTCATCAAGTGCTATAGCAGAGCAAACTCATCAATGTTGAGTCACTAGTTCAACTTTAAATATCATTATGCCACCTTTTCAAGTGTCGTGACACTTTAGGCCATTTCTATGTTTTCCTCTAAATAGAAATTTAGCTCTATTTATAAAGATTTTAGTCACATCAATAAAATAATTTAGTATGTTTTTATTGTACTTCCTTAGTACTCTATTAGAGTAAAATCTAAGAGGGACTTGGGAAGTGCAAGGTACAATCTCTGAGAGAGTCTTTCCTTTATTTTTATAAGAAACACTATATGTGGAGGAAGAAGTGGTATAGAGAAGATATTTATCCTTCCTGTTGAGAAAATTTAATTTCTTCTCTTGTACTTAATTCTTCTATGAATATAATGAAAAAGTGTTAGCTTGTTATTTCTTCTTTGTCTGGCTAGATCTGTTATTTTTTATTGATAATATAAAGATGATTTTAAGTACAAATGTATACCCTTATACTCTAAATAATTTATTGATGTTTTCAATATATCCCATTCTTCATTTAATGCATATAATGTCCATTTAAGTAATTAAAACATCGTGTGATGCATTAACTTGATGGAGGAATTCAAGAATAATTAGGAGAATTAAGATAGAATATTAATATGCCTAGACATATGATATTTGAATATTTTAGGTTTTATAGATGTTTTAAAACTATAGGAGGTAAGATTTACTTTTACCCCTACAAGCTCCATAAAGATCTTGGGATTTATATGTTATGATCTCCATCTAAAATTAAGAATATCATTTTAAAAAATATATTATTTACATGGATTTGACCCAAAAATTTTATTAAAATTATATTAATTATTTAACTTATTTTAATCAATGGTAGGAACTTAAAATTATCATTTTATTTTGATATGCTAACTATACTTCACACTTTATTATGAGGTTCAGCATGCATACTTTCCTATATTTAAGTGGGCTTGAATTATTGACATATCAAGGAAAACCTAATCATATTTAAATATTGAATGTCACATCAATCTATGCTCAGATAAAATTAATCTCGATAATACCCCCATAACATCACATTTTTGGCAATTCTACCTTGGAAGTAATTTATATATTAAAATTTTTACTATATTATTAAAATAAGTGCATATTTTGACCTACTTGTATTATGTATCCTATTTTTATCATGTTTTGTTTTATTTATTTTACTATTGTTACTACTTATTCATTTTATATTATTTGTAGATTTAGAAAGGAACTTTTATTATTTGAATATGAAATAGAAAGCAACTTTCAAAAATTCAAAAAGCTAAAAATATTTAGAGATGTCTAACCCAGTGCTAAATTAAGATCAATCTAAAACTCTTAGGGAGTAAGCTAGCCCTATATCAGGCAGAATCGATCAGAGTATTAGCACACCTAATATCAAAGCTAAATTTTTTGAATTGAAACCTTCCATTCTTTATATTGTTCAAAAATTTTACTTTGGGGTAACTCTAATTGAAGAACCAAATTTACAAGTAGCTTGTTTCCTAGATATCTATGTAATATTTAAATATAATGGTATCAGTGATGTTGCTATTAGGCTTAAATTATTTCTATTTTCTTTAAGGAACAAGGCTAAGATCTAGTTAAGTTCCTTTCCTTCTAGCTCTATAACCACTGAAATGAGTTGGCTCATCAATTTATAGCTATGGATTTTCCACCTTCAAAAGCTACCATACTTAGAAATTAGATCACTTCTTTTTCTCAATTCTAAGAGAATCAATTTATAAAAGTTGGGAGAGATTTAAGAAAATGCTTAAGAAGTTCCCTCGTTATGCCTTAACTAATTGGCTGGTTAATCTGACCTGAAATAATGGATTACTAGGTATCTAAGGTCAGTCATCAATACTATAGCCAGAGGATCTTTAATATCTAAGCTATTTGAGGAAGCATATGAACTAACAGAGGAAATGAATACTAATAATTTCTAGTATCCTATTGATATGATAAATCCTAAGAGAAAAGACAAAGTCTATGAATTGGATACTTTGTTAATTTTGACTTTGTAAGTAACAATAATTTACTAAAAATTAGACACTTTGGAAGTTAGGGTAGACCAAATAGGTATTATATTTCTATCAGGGATCCCATAAGTTTGAACTTTGTGGCACCGTACCATGTAGAACTATAGTGTTACTATTTAGATTATGAATAAGACTATCATGATACGAATGGGAAGATACCATTGGAAGATATTATGGAATTAGGAGTTCAATTGCATAATAAAACTTCTTCTTTTATAAAAATTTATAATCACAAAAGTCATCTTACTAGATTTATTAATTACCAAAAAATTTTGAAGGATAATATAAAAATATCTTACATAAGAGTGGGAGAGATTTAGGAGACCCTTACAAGGATAGAGTTCTACCTCAGAAGAATAATGGTGAAGGGGAATTTTAGATAGTAAATCTTCAAGTGAATAATCAAATCCTATAATATAACCTGAGAAACTAATAAGGAAGGTTGTAGAAAGACCCCCACCACAATTTTTTCAAATGTTAATCAAAGTTCTTAGAGGATTTTAAGAAATTGACTGTCAATATTTCATTCTCTGATGAATTATAACAAACGCTTACCTATTCTAAGTTTATGAAAGTTAACTTGAATAAGAAAATAAAGTTAGGATAATTTAAAATTTTGGTATTAACTGAAAAGTGTAGTAATATAAATCCAAAGAAACATCCTATGAAACTTAAAGATCCTTGTAGTTTTACTAGTACTTTAACTATATGTGATAAATATTGATGGAGAGCTTAATGTGATTTAGAATCAAGTATCAATCTCATGCATTTTTTATTATCAAAAGAATAGATATAGAAGAAGGTCAACCTACTTCTGTTACTTCATAATTAGTTGATAGATCTTTTCATTGCCCAAGAGGGTTAACAGATGATGTTTTGATTAAGGTTGATTGATTTATTTTCCCTATAGAATTTATTGTGCCAAAAATGGATGAAGATAAAGAAATACCCCTCATTTACGAGGACCTTTCTTAGCTATTAGGAAAGCCATGACTAATGTGCAAAAGGTGAATTCACTATGAGGGTTCAAGATCAGGAAGCTACTATTGATGTGCTTAAGTCTATGAAATTCCCTCAAGAAAAGAATAAATATTGTTTTAAAATAATTTGGAAGACATTAGGAGAGTTTAATAGAAGACTTTTTACAAGAAGAATTATTGGAAGAAGTTGAAAGGAATTATTATGAGAATTTAGGGGAAGGTTTTTCAACAATTGGATGAATTAAAAGATTATCTAATGAGACTTGTGAAACTTTAGAGGTTGTATCTTCTGATAAAACCTTAAGACCATCTATTGAATAACCTCCAGACTTGGAGCATAAAGTTTTACCTAATCATCTTAAGTATACTTTTTGGGGTAAGAACTCTACTCTTCATACAATCAATTCTATAAACATCAAAAAACATCAAAAAATTAAATTTATTAGAGTTTTAAGTGATTTTAAAAAAGATTTTGGGAAGATAATTGCTGACATTAAAGAAGTTAGCTGATAAATTTGCAAGTTTAAATTATAGTTGAAGCTAATTAAAGTTCATCGAAGTTATAAAACCATGGTGAACTATCCCTAACCGCACCAAGAGCGGGGTGAATTGGTATTTTTAAAAATACTACAATAAAAACTTTTTTTTTATTTTATGCTAGATAAAAAATTTTAAAAACAAATATAAATGAGTAACTTTATAAATGCAGAAGCAATCCAAAATTTTAAATATTTTTCATTTTGAGGCACATATAAATTGACCAAAATATAAAATCTTCTTTTACCTACTAAAGAATTAACCTCATTGCAGGTTGCAAAAAAAAATTAAAATTTTTGCATAAAGATAAATGCTATAAAGTAAATAAAAAATAAAAAATAGCATAATAGAAAATTTCTGGTGGTTCAGTCAATTATGTCTTATGTCTACACCCAGAGTCCTCCTCTCTATGTATTTTACTAACACTTATGCAACTCTCCTTTTGCACCGATAATAAGGTGGAGAAGCCCGTACAAGAATCACTTCCAAAAAACCCAGTGCGGTAGAGAACCATAACTGATGTTACCCTCCTTATAACAGTAGCGAACCATTAATCCTTTTTCACCCTCCATGGTGAGGGTAGAGAACCGAAGGAACCTTTCACACTCTTATATTGATGGCCGAGAATCATCAATCCTTTTTCACCCTTCAGGTAAAGGTAAAGATCCCAATGAATCTTTCTCACCCTCCTAGTGATGGCAGAGAAGTGCTAATCCATTTTTAACCTCCAGGAGAAGATAGAGAACACAAGACAATGACTTTGAAGCTTATACCCAAAGAGCAACTTAAAGAACTCACCAAGGCAAAATGAGGAAGCATTTTGTAAGCTTGCCTAGAGAAACCATGTGAATAACCCTCACACATAACCTAACCTTATTCCTCTTTAGACCTAAAGCTCTCTCTAGAAATTCTCCCCAGAGTTCCTTCAAAAGCCAAAAGTCCTTACAAAAGACTTCAATAAGATGCTTAAGTTCCATGCTTCAAAAAACATAATTTTTAATTTGGTCATCTCTGTACATACAATATGATCTAGGTTTATATTATACAATGAGTTCAAAAAAAGGACTCATCTATTATGATGAATTAGTCTTCCAAATTAATTGATCAAATTCATCAAACATATCACACAATATGATCATAAGTTTGTATGGTACGACTACTTTAATTCCCTTGTATTCATACTAGATGATTGGAAATTTTTTCTATCAATCATCTCGTATGATTCACATCAATAAGCATGATCAGTGCAATATTAATAGTTTGCATAATATGATATAGATATCATACTGCACAATTAGTTCAAAAATCAAGGTTATTATCTAGTACAACCTTTGGGATAAACAAATTTTTTCTCTGTCAATCGTATAGTATGATCTTCATTGTATCATACAATTAATAATATTTAATAAATATTGATTTAATTGGCTAATCACAAGGTATGATTTATATAAGATTTAAAATTTCATATAGTGCGATTAGATTTGTAAAGTATGATTAGTTCAAAATTTAATTTCAAAATTTCTTACCTAATTTATCTAGTCACTAGCTTTTACAGGTCAAAATAAATCATGCAGTATGATTAATATAAACATTAATGATTAATTATCCACTAAGCTTCCTTTTCGTATAAATGATAGTACAATATAATTTTAATCGCATGGTATAATTAGTTCAAAAAATTTTCATCACAAATTTTCTTCACTCTACTATGTGTGAGTGCACGATCGCTAATTTTGCATACACCTTTACCTTGCTAGACTCAAGAAATAGGAAATAGAATAAAGTTAAAATTACAATCTATTTTGAATGACATCCTATTCTACAAAAACTTGAGTCTTGATCAATCTTGAGTAGTGTAAGTGAACCTTATGAAAGTTCGTTAGGGATGTTAAGCCCTATGAACTTAGTCCCAAGCTAACCAAGAGAGGGGTGAATTGGTATTTTAAAAAATTTCTTTTCACAAAGAGCAAAAACACATAAATCAAAATCACACCACGTGAAAAATAAATGCGAAAATAAAAGTGCTGAAGCAAGAAACAAGAACACAGAAATATATAGTGGTTCGGTCAACTCGACCTACGTCCACTCCTTGGAGACACCCTCCAAGTATTGCACTACAAACGTGACTCTCCTTTAGCCCCCACGGCTAGGCGGAGAAGCCCTCACAAAGAACCTCTTTTTGCCACCCCGGCAAGGCAGAGAACCTATCTCCATTTGCTTCCTCTTGAAGCAGGCAGAGAACCACAACCAGATGCTGACTCCTTACCTCTACCGACCCTTCCACGGACGAGAAACTCTAGACGAAGAAGAAGCAGAGCGATCCTTGAAGCAACCCTTGTGAATCCCCTCACAAGCTCCCCCTCATAAGATCCTCTCTTTCTCTCTCCCTCTCTCTCTTTCTCTCCTCAAGGCCTTCTCAGGTCAAGGCTGCAGCCAAAAGGTTTGTTCAAAATGTTGAACAAGAGCTCTTAAATAGAAGAGCTTCAAAGGAGCTCATTAATTGCAAGTTGCCGACAATATCGTCCAGGCCGATATGGACATCAGCTTGACCGATCAGTACAAATCTCAGAAGATCGGCCAGAGCATCGCCCTGAATGCAAAATGGGACGATTTAAAATTGGCTTGATCGTCCAGGCCGATCTCAAGATCATCCCGGGCGATCAGTTCAAATCAGAGGAAAATCATCCAGAGCATCGGCCTGAATTCGAGCTGGCCAATATTTATCGTCCTGAAGTAACTAAGGTTTTTGAATAGATCGTCCTGGCCGATCCTGCGATCATCCAAGACAATATGATCGTATCAATCATCCTTAATTACTCCCTTGATTTCCTGATCAATTAAGGCATAATTTGTGAATATCGTCCAGGCCGATTAATGATCGTCCTGGCCGATAATTTAAAAAATACAGTATACCTTAATTGTCTATGGCGGCAACTTCTTTCTGTTTTGAGCTTATCGTCCTGGCCGATACACGTATCGTCCAAGATGATCTGTTAATGACGGCTTCCTTAATTAAGAATCCATATTTAGACTTTCTATTTTAAGCTGGTCGTCTAGGACGACGTAAATATCGTCCTGGCCGATATGAGTAAAAACAGAAATTCTAAATCTCTCAAGTGTGTGTGTGTGTATGGTTACTTAGAAATAGTCTCTTTGACCATTACAAATAGACTCAAGAAGAGAAAAAACAAAGTACAGACTGACTCAACCCTAAACCTACGCAATCTTGAACTAGCTTCG